CTGGGGACCAGCACACAGGAAAATGCTAGGGAAGGAAGACTGCTGGGCTAACCACAGATTGCCTTTATTTAACATCAAGTGTCAAGTCTAGGACATAGCCATGGAAAGGTAGATTCCAGGAACCTCCTCAGAAAATGGTTCAACCCCACTTGCTCCCCTGTTGTAATGAGAACTCATTCATTCCTTCCGCTATAAATCATCTTTCTAATTTCTGGTTAGAAAATAATAGCCAGGATGGGAGAGGTCCAGAAACCATATTGTTGCTGGTAAGTACCATCAAGTCATACTGATTTATAGCGACCCTGTATAGAGTTTATATGGAGCAGCTGGTGGATTTGAACCGCCGACCTGTGGTTTATAGTCCAGTGCGTAGCCTAAAGAGTCACACCAGGACTCCTCCAGAAACCCTAACCAATAATTTTTAGATCTTAAAAGCCCTTTGGTGTTAAGTTGATTCCAACTCCTGGTGAGCCATGTGTTCCAGAGTAGAACTGTCCCATAGACTGAATGCCCAGGATTGGTGCAGATGGTCTGCACTCGCCATGAAAGAAAAACCTGGGGATCGCTTCCGTAAAGACTATTTGCTGTTGTAAAGTGCATTGGCTATACAGATTTCCAAGGAGCAGCTGGTGGGTTTAAACAGCACAACTAAGACCCCCTCCATAAAGATTCTTGTTGTTGTTGTTAAGTGCAGTCAAGTCGGTTCTGACCCATAACAACCCTGTATAGGGTTTCCAAGGAACGACTGGTGAGCTTGAACCACTGACTTTGTAGTTCAAACAGCTTTGCAGTCTGGCGCATGAACCCACAGCGCCAAACCAGGGTTCCATAAAGATTATAACCAAGAAAATCCTACGAAGTAATTCTATCTTTAACACATAGAAGCACCATGAGTCAGAGCTGACTGGATAGCAAAGAGTTGTTGTTTTCATTTGTTTAATCCTTACAGAAGTAGATCATCAGGGCGCTGCTGGAAGGATATTCAAACTTCCAACCTTTAGGTTAGCTGTTGTTGTTGATGTTAAGTGCTGTCAAGTCAGTTCCAACTCATAACCACACTGTATAGAGTTTCCGAGGAGTGGATGATAAACTTGAACCACCGACCTTGCGGTTCAAACTGACCTTGCAATCTATCGTATTAACCCACAGTGTCACATTAGGTTAATAGTGGAGTGCAAACATCTTAAACCAACCAGAAAGCCTAATCAATCAAAAAAATATTTAATCAACTAACATTTGGAGGTACCTATTCTTCCAAACTTATTTACTATATCCCCAGTATTCCCCTGAGGAAGGAGGTCAAAGAAAACGAGATTCTGTCAAGAAAAGAGGCAACCTCAGGAAGAACAGTGTGGTTAGCAAAGGGAGGGGAGCACAGTGAAGGGTAACCCATCCAGCTCAGCCTGCAGATGAGAGATCTAAGACAGGCGTGCTAAAAACCAAGATGAGAAGGAATCATGCCAGTTGAAGCCACTGCCCCTTTCTGTGGCCCGCAGAAAGCTCACTGCTTTTTCCAGCAGCAGGAGTAATCAAGAGTAGACACCAGAGCCAAGAGCAGATTCTAGTTGCCGAACGAACCTCTACCTCAGAGAGCAGCCTGGCATGGCTTATCTCGTGCCACTGCCCTTTTCACTTCTAAGAAGACAAATGCTGCTTCTAAGTCCAGACTGCAAGACCCAGGGATCTTTTCTGGCTGAGTTTCATGGGCAGCAGGTTGAGTTCCAGATCAGCTAGGGTACTCTAAAGGCACTATGTCCCCATCTTCTCTAACTGCACAGTCACAGACCCCTGACTTAAGATACTCCCCTGGGTCACTTTCTAGGATTCATTGTCCAGAGGCAACATGTGTAGAGAAAGGAGGTGTTAAGGCTGAAGGTGTTTGTATGTCTGCATATTTCACCCGGGCCAGTGAATGTCCATGAGTGTGCATATGGAAAGTGTGTTGGCAGAGATATGCTGAGAAGAGGTGTGTGAAAGATAGGTGTGTGTGAGCAGGAATGTGTGTATTCATGAGCCGCTGCAAGAGCACAAGTGTGGTGTTTGTGTGTGTGCATGGCTTAGGGGACTGCTCTCCTCCTGCCTCTTCTGCTAAGAGAGTGGGGTCTCCCAAGCTATCTTCCCACTCCTCCCCCAGCCTCATGGGGTCATTCATAACCCAGCTCACCCCTTGGGCTGAGTGAGTGTCCTCACCCTGATCAAAGAAATCAAAGCCACATGACCCACAGAGAAGACACCGGGGACATGTCAGGTCACCCTAGAGAGCCGCGGTTCAGATAACACTCCTTACCTCTCAGCCTTCACTGATGGACTCTCACACATCCAGGCAGCCACCCATTAATGCAGCCCACGTGGAGGTCTTTCCCCTCACACACACAAATGCACTGCTGCACACCCAAACACAATCCACACAGGGGTGGTATATCTCATACAACTCTCATGTCACCTGCGGGCCCACTCCACACGCACCGACCTTCCCCCCCCACACACACACACATGCAGATCCTACACACATAGGTCCCCACACACAGGGACACCATCAGACACAGGCTAGAAAATCCCTGCCCTAACACTGCCCCCACTGTGACACACACCCCCCTCATAAGCACTCACACTGACACATTTGCACCTACTGGCTAACTCAGCACAGCATTCTCTGTCCCACACTGGCCAGCAATGGCCTCTGAACCCAACCAGCAGAGCCTGTCTACTTACTCTGATCGTGAGAACCGTTACAGTGCGTGCGTGCTAATGGCCAGGGGTGGCAGGGTGCAGCTGGAGCTCCAGAGGCCGTGAGCAAAGTGGTCCCTTTTGGGCGGAAGCTGGGGGTTCGCCCACTGCCCCCCTCCTGCCCCCAGCGCACTCCCCCCTCCCTCCGCCCTCTCAGCTGCTCGAAGGAGGCTGCAAATTCTGAAGGACCTTCAACAAGCGTGTACTTTGAGCCAAGCCTCTGTCCTGAGTCAGGCTCCACTGCCGAGAAGCAGCTGGGCCTCCAGGGCTATTTTAGTGCCCCGGGCAGTGGAAACATCAGCGCTGGCTGCTGTGGGAAGCTCAGGAATGGGGATGCGGTCAGGCCTAATTAGAGACCTGGCTCATCCCTGTGGCTGGACAGGAGTCAGGGCGGGTAACAACCTTCCGAGCCGTCCAGGAGGGGGCGCCCATTTGTGCCCCACATGCCAACATCTGGAGATGGGAGGGGATCGTGCTGCAATCATTTCCCTTCAGCTGAAATAAAACAAGGAGGTATTTGGGGGCAGTTTGCATGTTCTGCGGAGGGAGCCGCCTAACTTTGAGCAGTCCCAAATGCCTGGAATGTGACATGGTTTACTCTCCACAGGTGCTTCCCTTGGAAACTAGGTCACCCACACAAGTCACTCTCCAGATCATGGACCTGCCAAAAATTGGGAGTGGGGGTATTACAGAGAGTCATTCTAACTGGGGGCACATCAAACTTCCCCCTCTGGACTTCTTCTTGTCAGATGGTGTAAGCCTGCTTCTTACCCAAAAACTCAGGAATGTTGCATTCTTGAGCTGGAAGGAAGCTTCAAGGTCATTCCACGCAACTCACCCTGCCATGGATCTTGTGGGTCTGGAAGGCCTCCACCTATTCTTAAGGATCAGAAAGCAAAAAGGCAGCTCCCTCCACCTCATTTGGTCCTTGTTCCAAAACCTGAAACTCTCTTCCTTTCTGGATTCTAACTTAAATCTTTCTCCTGAAAACTAGGCTAATTTCTTATCCTATGTGTTCAGGAGGAGTCCTGGTGTGGTACTATAGAATAAGCACTGGACTGCTAGCCACAAGGTGGGTGGCTCAAACCTACCCCCCGCTCTTCAGAAACCCTATATAGGGTCACTATGAGTCAGAAACGAGTCCATAACACTTACCGACAACAGTAGTGTGTACAGGAGAGTCCCTGGGTAGGTTAAGCATTCAGCTGCTAACAGAAACGGTAGCAATTCAAGACCACCCTGATGTGCCTTGGAAGAAAGTCCTGGCAATCTACTTCCAAAAGAGCAGCCATTGAACCCTATGGAACACAGTTGCACTGTGATGCACAAGGGACTGCTGTGAGTTAAAATAATTCTCCAGCACCTGGTAAATGTATGCGGAGAGAGGGAACTACTTCTATTTCCACAGCGCAATGACCATCCCAACCTCCCACTTCAATCATCTCGTCCTTGACGCTAATAATCCCTGTTCTCTTTTTCAGGACCTAACTAAAACTGGCTGTTACTCTGAACACAGCTGCCCCAGTATTAACTCAGATCCCATCTCAGGTCCATGGGCACCCTAGGGCTATGTCACCCAGGTCTCTCCTCTCAGACAAGCTAGCTTGGCCCATACCTCCATCCAAACAGCCTAACTCTACTCCCCAGTTCCTTGAGAGGGGCTTCAGTTCCTATCTCAGCAAGAGAAGTCACAGGAACTGGTGTGGACTCAGAGCCTCCAGTCAGCCACTTGGCTGAGTATTAACCCTATAGCTGTAACCTTCTTCAAATGGGCAGAGTTGGTGGAACCTTCTCTTTGGATCTTTTTTGGGGGGAAAGGTCAGGTAGTGAAATTAAAAGTTAGGGCTTTATAATCAAACAGACCTGACATTGTACCCTGCCTCTAATCCTTCCTAGCTGTGTGTGCTTTGACAAGACAAGTCATCCTCCTGAACTTCAGTTTTCACACATGTACACTGGGGATCATCATAACCTCTGCCTGACCCATAAAGTCTTTGAGAATATGAAATAAAGTCAGAGATCTAAAAGTACATCTAAGATTGTCTATTGTCTATTTTGCTGTTGTTGTTGTAACAGACTAGAGGTAGGATAAGGTTTAAATCGTGGGCAGGATAAATGCTAGCAAAAAGCCTCAGAGACCTTTCATTTCTAAGTACAAACATTATGCTTGGGTTTCAGAGCAAGGTAGGTACAGACTTGGTTCATTAGACAATCCTTTGGGGCAGTTGCATGACTGCCCTCCACCCTCCATTCCCCAACGTACAGATACATACGGCATAGCCCAGCCTCCCAGTCTCCTGTCGACCCCACAGACCCCAACGGCCTGGGCCTCCGCTGGCTGCCTGTCCATTTCCAGGGGGCCGCCTCATGGCTCCAGTCAGCTCGGTCGAAGCAACTCTGAGTCTCCTTACAGTGGCCCCTATGAAGATCTCCTCTCCTCCTGCCCATCCTTCTTGGCCATGGCTTCTGCAAGGCCTGTGGCTCAAAGCGAAGCTGGCAGAGACCTTCTAACAGGCAGTTCAAGCCCGAGGCTGCCCAAGGAAGCTCAGAGTCGGAGCATCCTCCCCCACAGTCCCCTCCTGTCTGTCTGCCTGGCTTCCCAGTGCAGCCCTGCTTAATTCTTAATGGAAATTCCATCCCCTGCACTAGCCCTACCTGGCTCAGGGAGTCCCTGCTTCGGCCAACAGCAAACTCCACGCAGAGAGGGGGGGTCTGCCTGGCCATATAAACATGCATTCACACATACATACACAGGAGCAGGGAGGGATTCACAGGGACATTTAGGAACCCAGAGACTCATCCAGACACTGTATGAGAAGAGCACTAGAACCATTTCCTGTGGGATAATGCACTCGACCACAAGGTTGGTGGTTCAAATTCACCAGCCATTCCTTGGAAATCCTAGACAGGGCTGCTATGAGTTGAAATGGACTCGATGGCACTTAACAACAACTATTTTAGGAGTCCCCAGGTGGCACAAATGGATAAGTGCCCAACTACTAGTGGAAAAGATGGCGATTTGAACCCACCCAGAAGTGCTTGACAAGGCAGGCTTCAAGATCAGCTTCTGTAAGGTCACAACTTTGAAAAACCCCGATGGAGCAATTCTACTCTGAGCACATGGGATTGCCAGGGGTCAGATCAGGGTCAACAGCAACTAACAATAACATTAACAAAGTATCTTATGAGTATCAACTTCTCCAATCCTCATAACATTACTAGGTTCTGGGAGCATCCCCGTTATGTATGTCAGGAAACCCAGGCAAGGAAGACTAAGCAACTTACACAAAGCATCTAGAAATATACCCTAATACATGAGCACCAAGAACCAGGCCTTAAGGGCATTGTTTTGTTTTGTCACCATAGTAAACTTTTGTTGGCATTTCTATTGTTTACATTATGTTGTTGGTGTTGTTAAGTGCCGTCAAGTTGACGCCGGCTCATAGCGGCCAAAGGTTGGTGAGGAGCAGCTGATGAGGTTGAACTGCCAACCTTGCCAACCAGTGCATTATTCTGCAGTGCCACACACATTATTCTGTAGTGTAGTGGTTGCAAGCCGGGCTGCTAACCTCAAGGTAAGCAGTTCAAAACTACCAGCCATTCCGCAGGAGAAAAATGAGGCTTTCTGCTCCCATAAAGATTTACAGCCTCAGAAACCCATGCAGGGTAACTATGATTTGGAACCAACTCCATGGCACAAAATCACCACCACACCATTCTCCAGACAGCAGCTCTGATGGTGGCCTCACCACTGGTGGGTTGAAGGGATACTCTACCCAGCTAAGTACATAGGTAAAGAGACACATGTGAACACACTCAGGAGCACAAACACAAGTAGCTTACTCCACCAAAACCAAAGCAGGAGACTCAGGACTGGCCCAGGGCAGCACGTAGTAAAGGTCCCTTTCAGACTGCTGCCTGACTCCATTCTATTCTCGCCTCCTAAATGACCTATCCCAGGTCTATGACCTTCACTCATCACTTCAAGAAAGACAAGTACAAACCTGTAGGAAGGGAAGTTTTCAGTCTATATCAATACTCAACCCTCGGGCTCAGTTCAAACCCAGTTGGTGCAGCATGCCCTACATGGTCACTGGAAGAAGGTTTAGGCACACACCTCCCAAAGGATCAGGAATCCTACATAGGGAGCACTGCCCAGAGACTGACCAAGGAGGGCTGCTAGGCCCCATTGCTTGGGCCCTGCCTTCCAAGTCCAGATGAGGCTAAACAGGGTCCACAGACAAGGCATGGTATAGGAGTATAAGCATTAGGTAAAAGAGCATGGGTTGTTGGAGGAAGTTGAAGACATACATCAGCGAGATGGCAAGACCTGGGAGGAAACAGGGGGAAAAGGAAGTTGAGAGCCATAATGCAGGACAAGCCATGAAATTCTGAGTCAGGGAAGTTGAGTGAACTGACATGAAGGAGAGACCAGAAGAGTTTAGCAGTCTGTGAATCTGTCCACTGCATGGAGTATTGTGTGCAAACTAGCCATGTCCAGCCAGGAGCAGAAGGTGTGCTGGCCTGGGCTTCACTCCAGGTACCCCAGTAGAGAACATTCAGGGAGGCCTGCCACATCCAGAGTGTTCTCTATGTGTTCTCATGATTCCCCCATTGCCAACTTCATCTCCAAATGGTGATGGTGGTGGTGTGCCATGGAGTCAGTTCCGACTCATAGTGATTCCACACAGGGTTTCTAAGGCTATAAATCTTTATGGGAGCAGAAAGCCTCATCTTTCTCCCATGGAATAGCTGGTAGTTTCAAACTTCTGACCTTGAGATTCGCAGCCCGACTCATAACCACTACACTACCAGAGTCCCCAATTAATTCTGCTGTCAAAGTCCTTCCACCCTGTCATCAGAGGACAACTCGGCATGGCAGTCCTAGTGGGACATCGACATTGGAAAAAAAAAAAAGTCCTTTAGAGACAAGTGCCTAAACACTCCAGGAATGGTGGCAATGACTCTAAGAACGTCTAATGACTGACACGCTGAGCCCAGAAATTTGTATATTTCTGTGAGGTTCCCAGATGATGCTGATGCTACTGTCCAGCGATCATACTTTGAGAAGCAGCGCCTTAATAAGAAAATAAGACAATGTCAGGATCCTTCCAGTCCATAACAAAATTTCCAACCTAACTTCAGGTTGTAAGTGCTTTCTCCTTGAAAGTTTCCTAAAGGGAGAGTTTTGTTGTTGTTGTTGTTGTTAAGTGCCGTGGAGTCGGTTCCGACCCATAGCGATCCTGTACAGGGTTTCCGAGGCTGTAAATCTTTACGGGAGCAGAACGCCTCATCTTTCTCCCGCGGAGCGGCTGGTAGTTTCGAACTGTTGGCCTTAAGGTTCGCAGCCCGATTCGTAACCACTACGCTACCAGAGCTTACATTCCCCTTAACACTTTGTACTGTCTTTTCCCAAGTCCATCTCCACAACCCTAGCATCAGCTCTGCTGCCTCTTGGTGGGTCTTCAGTGGGCTTTGTGATGGTGCTTCCACTTTAGCACATCTCCAACAAAAGTAGTATCCTCTATTCTGTTTTCCATCTGCACAGAGCATGTTATCAAAATGTGGAACCTGCACAAAAATTACTGATGAGCTCTCAGTGACAGGGACAGAGATAATAGATCACAAGATCATGCTAATCACAGCTGAAATACCAACTCCACTCAGAGAGATGAAGATGAGCATGAAGCTTAGTACCCACAGCTACAACCTCACATCCCCTTCTGTATCTCTGGGCCATGTACATCAAGATGTTTCCCTGCCTCAGGGATGATGGAGGGATAGGGCACTCAAGAAAGATAGGGAGAAGTGGATCTGGCCATAGAGTACCGGACAGGCTGGTGCAGCCACTCATTGTTGACCCATGTGAGCAACAGCTCACCCATCTCTCCTGGTCTTACTCATCAATTCTCTCAACAAGGAACATTTCCCTAACTCCTGGAGAGAGTGTGAGGTCCTGTAATTTATGGCCCTCAGAACTCTGTGGGTGTAGGAGTTTAGCCCACCTGCATTGCCTAGGGATGCAGATTTTCAGGTCCTCCTCCATAGGAGGAGATTGTGTGCATCTCTTCCATGTGTTTAATTACTTCACATTGTTAGGATTCTTGGTGTGATACTGGAGGACCAGCACAGGGCTGAGAACCATAAAGTTTACAGTTCAAGCCCACCAGCTGCTCATTGGAAACCCTATACAGGGTCACTATAAATTGGAATCCACTGGACTACTGTTAGTTTGCAATTTACCATAATGGAAGCATTTATTTACACCACAAAAATTCAACCAGTGCTACAGATAAAGGGCTTTCATTTGGAAGAGGGGAGGTTGGCTAGATGGGAGACGCACTACTTGTAGAAATATTCATCAGCATACCACGGAGACTGTACCCAAAGGAGTATGAGTGAGGTCTACTCTGGGAAACACTGATCTAGTGATGATGCTCTAATTCAAAGCCCTTATTTTATTGGTGGGGAAACAGGTCTTGAAACAGGAAGAATCTTGATCAAAGTCAACCTATTAGGTACCTTGTGGGATCGTGGCTGCTCATTTCAGAATGTCAGGGGAACAAGAACAGCCCTGCTTGTTTACTTGACCCTCGCTGGCCTCCTCTCTAATACACCTGTTGTGGCTGATTGGCTAAGGGGATGGAAAAGAAAAGAGGTCCTATTTCTTGTGGTGGTAGTGGTGGTGGTGGTGTGCCGTGGAGTCAGTTCTGATTCATAACGACCCCATAAAGGGTTTCCAAGGCTGTAAATCTTTAAAAGAGCAGAAAGTCTCATCTTTCTCCCACGAAACTGCTGGTAGTTTCAAACTGCTGACCCATTATCTCTCATCTGCATTTAGAATTTGAATGTGTTGGATTAGAATTGTTAATAACTGGATCACTTGACTGCAGGGCCCTGGACTGCAGGCCCACGCATTTTTGGTTATGAATTACTGAATCAGAAACTGATCACAGTGCACACTTTCTGTCCAACCCCCTAAGATACCTAGGACTGCCCTACACTTCCCAAGCCTTAACTGCTAAGCAATTCATTGAATTCAGAGAGGTACCCCAACATCCTCCCAACCAATGCCCTGTCTTTCTCACGCTAAAAGCTGTATTCTGTAACTCACAACAAAATGCAGTTTCAGAGTAACTTAGTGCTGTTAGGTGCTGTGGAGTCGGTTCCGGTTCATAGCGATCTTATATACAACACAACGGCCCAGTCCTGCATATCCTCACGGTCATTCTTTTTGAGCCCACTGTGAAAACACTGTGTGAATTCATCTCACTTTCTCACTGACCCTCTACTTTACCAAGCAGGGTGTCTTTCTCCAGAGATAGTTGCTGTTTTTAAGTACCGTGGAGTCAGTTCCAACTCACAGTGA